CCCCTCTTCTCTCAATGAAAAATGTCCTTGAATAGGGATTTTAAAAAAACCCAACAAATAAAATCCCTGGATGGTTTCACAGGGGAATTTTATCAAACATTCAGAGAAGAACTAACACCTCTCCTTCTCAAACTATTTAAAAAAAAATTCAAGAGGATGGAAGGCTCCCGAGATCATTTTACAAAGCCAGCATTATCCTATTTGGTTCCAAAACCAGATAAAGACATTATACAGAAGAAAATTATAGGCCAATATCCCTGATAGGTGGAGATGCTAAAAATTTCAACAAACTATTAGCAAACTAGATCTAGCAATACATTAGAAAGATCATACACCATTACGAAGTAGGATTTATTCCAGGGATGTAGGTTGGTACAATATCCACCAATTAATAAACATGATAAACCATGTAAACAAAATGAAGGATAAAAACCACATGATCATATCAATAGATGTAGAACAAGCATTTGATAAAATCTAGCAGCCTTTATGATAAAAACTTTCAGCAAAGTGGTAACAGAGGGAACATACCTCAGTGTAATGAAGGCCATGTGTGACACACCCACAGCCAACATAATACTCAATGGTCAAAAACTAAAAGCATTTCCCTTAAGATCAGGAACAAGACAGGGGTGTCTGCTTTTACCACTCTTATTCAACATAGTACTGGAAATCCTAGTTACAGCAATCAGACAAGACAAAGAAAGAAAAGGCATCTAAATTGGATAGGAGGAAGTAAAATTGTCATTATTGGCAGATGACATACAGAAAAAAACACTGATAAAATGCAGCACCAAATTATGCTAAAACTCTCAGCAAAGTGGGAATAGAGAACATACCTTAACACAGTCAAGATAGGCAACATTAATGAAACAGGAGAATGCAATCTTTATAGACAGAAACTGGAAGATGAAATTTCTAACTTCCACATGTAACTGACAACCATTGATGAGACTCAGTTTCCAACCTAACAACTGCAGTTAACAGTCACATTTCATTTTTTAAAATTCATTGGGGTGACATTGGTTAATAAAAATTATATAGATTTCAGGGGTAAAATTCTCTAATACATCATCTATCTATTGTATTCTGTATTTACCACCCCTAGTCAAGTCTCCTTCCATCACCATTTATCCCGTTTACCTTCTCCTATATCCCCCCACCTCCCTTTCCCTCTGGTAATCACCATACTGTTGTGTATGTCTATGAGTTTTGTTTTTCCTTTGTTCAATCCCCTCATCTTCTTCACCCAGCCCCTCAAACCCCCTGCCCTCTGACAGCGGTCAGTCTGTTCTCTGTATTATGAACCTGTTTCTATTTCATTAATTTATTTTGTTCAATAGATTCCATGTACAAGTGAAATCATATGGTACTTGTCTTTCTCTGACTGGTTTATTTCACTTAGCATAATTTTCCCCAGGTCTATACATGCTGTCCCAGAAGGTAAGATTTCCTTCTTTTTTTTTTTTTTTCTTATGGCTGAGTAGTATTCCATTGTGTACATGTAATACAGCATTTTTGTTCACTCATCTACTAATGGACATATGGGCTGCTTCCAAATTTTGGCTATTGTAGATAATGCTGCAATGAACACAGGGGTGCATATATTCTTTCGAATTAGTGTTTCAGGTTTCTTAGGATATATTCCCAGAAGTGGAATCACTGGGTCATAGGCAGTTCCATTTTTAATTTTTTGAGGTAACTCCATACTACTTTCCGCAATGGCTGCACCAATCTGCATTTCTAGCAATAGTGAATGAGGGTTCCCTTTTCTCTACATCCTTACCAGCACTTACTGTTTATTGGTTTATTGATGATAGCCATTCTGATTGGTGTGCAATGATATCTCACTGTGGTTTTAACTTGCATTTCTCTGATGATTAGTGACGTTGAGCATCTTTTTTTATGTCCATTGGTCATCTGAATATTCTCTTTGGAGAAGTGTCTATTCAGGTCTTTGGCCATCTTTTAATTTGATTATTTGTTTCTTTGGTGTTGAGTTTTATAAGTTCTTTATAAATTTTGGAATATTAACCCCTTATCAGATGTATCACTGGCAAATACGTTCTCCCAATGAATGGGCTGTCTTTTCATTTTGTTGATGGATTCCTTTGCTGTGCAAAACTTTTTTAGTTTGATGTAGTCTAATTTGTTTATTTTTCTTTTGTTTCCCTTGTTCAAGGAGATATACCAGAAAAAAATATTGCTACAAGAAATGTCTGAGATTTTACTGCCTATGTTTTCTTCTAGGACTTTTATGGTTCTGAGTCTAACATTTAAGTCTTTAATCCATTTAGAGTTTATTATTATGTATGGTATAAGAAGGTGATCTAGTTTCATTTTTTTGCACATATCTGTCCAATTTCCTAACACCATTTATTGAATAGACTATCTTTACTCTATCGTATGTTCTTGCCTCCTTTGTCAAAATTAATTGACCATAAAGGTGCAGGCTTATTTCTGGTCTCTCTATCCTGTTCCATTGATCTATATGTCTGTTTTTATGCCAGTACCATGATGTTTTCATTAAGGCCTCACATTTCTAACCAATGAGAATATTAGCCATTAAGAAGCAGATGTAGAACATCAAACTGATATTTGTTAGTTCTGTAGATAGGAGGAGGATTAGAATTGGTCATGAGACATCTGACCAAAATTAAAGTTAGAAGTTGTACAAGGATTTTAGGATTTATTTACACATTACTTGTATAACTGAAATAAACATAAGAAGTATATTTATTAAAAGTATCTTTATCAAAAAAATGTTTCACATTCTTGAGATTATTCTCAGTGCCAATATCTTACTGTCTTGGTAGATATGTACTAGATTTTATAAATTCAATTGCTTTCAGGGGTGAAGTGGGTAATAATATGAGCAAAGCTGAGTGTACATGAGGCTTACAGGTGTTCAAATTCAAAATCACAAAAAAACATTGTGCAGATTAAACAAAACACTTCTGCAAATTAAATTTAACTGGCTGTCCCTTATTTTGTTATCGCTCCCAATTTCAGTGTTTCTTAACATTTTAAAATTGCCTTCCTTTAAATAAGATTTCAAATCTTCCTTAAAGTTATTTGAAATTTCACATCACATAAAATTTTGAAATTAAAACCAAATCACAGCAATTATATCATTGAAAATATTTTTCTAAACTCAATGGCCCACTGCTCTTCATTAAGTTATTTAAAATTATTGCCCCTAGACCTTATCCTCACCTGAAACTTCACTCTCTCTGAAATTTAAAAACCAGTGTCTTATAAACAGAGATTGCTTCACTTTCTTAAGAGCCAAACAGAGATTGGCTCTTCCACTTCACTGATCCCATATCTCTTTTTATTCCTTTTGTTAGCCTCCTTCTGCAGGTCTACTTAGCAATTCCTGAAAATGACTTTGGTTCAGGCCCTTGACCTTTCCTATAGGGCCTTTCTGAAAACTGCTTTCTCAAACATCAATAACAAACTCTCAAACTCTTCTGTGAATATATCAAACCATTTGCAGTTCTCCAAATAAACCACAATCACATTTTGTACTCTCTGCATAAAATGTCTTTCACGTTTTAATTCTTATTCATGCTTAAAGACAGAGCTCAAGCCACAGCTCCTCCAAAAGCTTTCAGAACAAGTGTTTTCATCACCTCAATCCAACCTAGGTAATGTTCTTTCCAGCCCCAATCCACCACCCCAGCTGCTTTAACTCCACCACCCCAGCTGTAGGCATACTATTTGGAAAATATTTATAGTTAATATTAAGAAAGAATGTTTAAACTAAAAGAAGCCTTAAAGTCATTTTACAGACTAGTCATTTTAAAACTAAAAAGGTAAATGATATAGTCAGCTGTCAACCAGATCTTATCAAAGAGAATCTCATTGTAAAATAAACTTGAAAATATAAAAAACTTCCAATTCAATTTCTGCAAATATACATTAAATCAATTTCCAAGAGACTTTTCCAATGTATGGATTTATGACTGTCAATCCATCAAAGGTCTGTTCATAAGGTGAAGAAAGAGAGAGTGTGGATATTTTAGTTTTTTTAAATTGATTTAGAGAGAGAGGAAGGGAGAGAGATGTCAACTGGCTGCCTCCCATACATGCCACAACCCAGGATTGAACCTGCAACCTAGGCATGTGCCCTAACTGGGAATGAATCCACAACCCTTTTTGCACAGGACTATGCTCCAACAAACCAAGCACCTGGTCAGGTGATATTTTACATTTTTAAAGCTAATTTCATGTACACTGTATAATAATCCTTAACTAAAAAACGGCTTGTCAATGATCTGCCTGTGGACTTCCAGACCACATTTTCCATAGTAAATGCTATACTTGATACTATTATATATATGTGTGTGTGTGTATATATATTTATATATATTTATATATATATTTATATATGTATATAAAAAGAGAGAGAGGGGCTTATGCTGAAAATTAGAATCTCAAGCCTGGCCCAGAACCATATAGCTCGTTCAACATGTGTGATCTTACTCAACCTGCCTAGGATAGGGTACTTCCTTATTTATTCACTCCTCAGTTGTTACTACTATTTTCAATTGAGGAGAATGGGAAGAGAAATAGATTTAAATATAAATGGTATGGGAGAGAAAGTAAGAGGGATAACCCATTAATATTTAGTTAGATAGAAAACAATTTTTGTTAAAAGAAGATAGGAAGTGTATCTCTACCCTTTCTACTACTTGGAAATTCTCTTTGACTAATAAACTCTACTTCTAACATGCAAATAGTGCCTCCAGCCCCCACCAGTAGGAATATGGAATAAACTTTATTCATAATTTGAAGAAGTTTCCTAATTATTCATCATTTAGTAAGCATTTATTTAAAATTTCAGAACTCATTGTATTAAGCAAAGGAGCTAGAAGTTTGGCTTTCTTAAGTATTATATTTCTTAAAAGTTAGTAAGAAAGAACAAAAACTAAAAAATTTCATTGGCATATATCTTACTGACTCACACATTTATCAAAAAATCTCATTTTTCTTACCTTGAATGTCGGAGGCTGTCTTTTTTGTTTTTTGCAGAACACAATGTGCATTCACAGCCAACTGCATGAGGCTTAGGTAGCGACACATCCTGTTTTAACAGCATTGTAAGAATTTCATAGTTGTTACGATGAGCAGCTAAAATGACAGGTGCAATGTCCATAGTAGTTGAATATTCAGGATTCTGAATTTGTTCCATTAGCTTCTGAAAAATATTTATAGAAACTGTTAAAAGTTATTTGTGATTTCAAAAAAATAATTTGAAGAATAAAATTTTTAAAATGGAAGCACAAAGAAACAATTAATTTAAGAAATATGATAAACAGTTTTCCAGGATAAATTTTTTTTTGAAACCTAACAACTGAACTTTAATTAATAAATGTTAATATAATCATTACAAACAAAATCTTCAATAGGAAACATTCATACAACTAAATTTCTGTTTTCCTAACAAAGAGGAAGGGTATCTAGAGAAATACATCAGAAAAAAGTTTTTAATTTTCAAAAGATAATGGAAACATGCATGACAAGGATAAAGAACAAAAATTGTAGAAACAGTATAATAAAAAACCAGAAATGTTAAAAACAGTCAGAGCATAAATGCATGAGAAAAACTAAAAATTCCTCCTCTGTGGTAAACCTTGCCACATTGATAGTAATGGAGCTGCTTGAAAGGGATAAGTAAATAGGAAGCAGTCTTTATTTTGTATAATTCTCCACAGATTCTCAATCATTATCTATATTACTTTCTGTTACAAATACACAAAATCACTAGCAATCATAGGTACTACAGGCACTTTACACTTACCAACTCATTTATTCCCACAGTAAGTACCCTGCGAATCTGAGCACTATAATTCCTATGAAGAAACTGAGGCTCAGAGAAGTTACTGTGCCTGAGGCACACAACGGAGGGGCAAACCACAGATCATAACCCAAATCTGTATTACTCCGGAGCCTGAGCTCCTTTCACTACATAGTCTCATGGGTCTGATGATGGCGTGACATGAAGAAAAAGACATTAGCAAATAAAGAATCAGGGTTAAACAAACAGGTTGACTATTTTATGACTATTGCATACACTTTTCTACTACTTCTCACTTGTTCACAGAGGTTGTCCTGACAGTTGTTTCATTCCATAGTATAAGCTGATCAAGTTCATGGTTTATATTGTAAGTTTCACTAACACTGTAAAAGCAGTGCATACACATTATAAAATATCTGAAAAATACAGAAAGACCAATACCCATATTCTTACTATCCAAAAACCATTTTATAGTATCTCTTTCTGATCCTTTCCCTATCACACTCCCTTTTAAGGACATCTTTGGCACCAATAATTTAAAATAATGGTCCCTAATACTCTGAAGAATATCACTGGCAAATTTTAGTATTTTCTAACATACTAATCTTTTTTGCCCTCCTTTATAAATAATTTGTTTGTATTTTTCCCACTTAGTTACTGGGAATTTCAAATTAATGAATTTATTTAAAGTTACAGAGAAATCTAAAATTTTAGTCCTTTTCCCTATATTATTAGTTATAAAAAGGAGAAAATTGTATTCAATTGCTTGAGAGAAAAATAGTCCTCATTTTTCCTATGACACATTTTTAACTATATGAAAACACTATTAGACATAAATAAAAGTTCATAATTTCATTGCTTATAATATAATCAATGTGCCCAAAAAACTGTTTTTGAAAGTCAAAGTTTATTAAAAGACAGTTTTGATAAGCCAAGAATACAGAATGAATATACTGAAATGGTTAAAAAAAGTATATAAAGTATTTGAGATTGCCTGTCTACAAGTAATAAGGCTGTTAAAATGTGATCTTGCTGCTGCTGACAGAATTCAAACAAAGGCTTTTTGTTAGCAATGAAGTAGAAAGTGTTCTTTCACTGAGCAAGTGAAGACTACCATGGCCTTACAACCCAAGATTCAATTGGTAGTGGTAATGAAGATGAAAAACAGCAATCAGCTGCTCCGATACCCTGATACACCCTACCCTCCCCAGTAAGAAAGTAAATGGGTTTAAAGGCTAGAAGGCAGAATAGGTTTACCAAAATATAACCAACCATAACTACAGGATAGATGACAGAAAATTGAATAGGATTGTAGATATTTCTGATTGTCTGTACAGGAGCTATATTCTTAGCCCTTCTTTTCTGTTCTTGTTGGTTTATCACTACTACCAATTAAATTAGTACCATCCTCTGGAGAAAGTCATACATACACTAACTTTTAATAGTGCAAATTTTTGTAAAATAATTCAGTCAATACATGATAAAGATTCAGATAATGCCAGATCATCCACAACCAATTTATAGTTCTTTCTTAAGTAATACGTTTCTTATGGGAATATCCAGTTTATACCCCAGCAGTTAGTTATTGAAACTACTTGTTTCACTACACCACAATTAATAATGAATGGTATATTTAAAAAATCTTTATATACAACAAATATCTCATTTTAATATATAATTTACCTGATTTTTATGAATATCTTCCTAATTACAAAAGCAATAAAGAAATATAATAAAGAGTAAAGAAAAAATCCCTAATGTGGCAGTGAGATGGCTGCTGCTAGGTAACACTTCGCTGCATTTCCGTATCGTTCCTTTTCTATGCATATTTTTAACCTTGGATCATATTACATATACAGTTTACAATTCTTCTTTTCACTTCCTATATCATAGTTTTCTGTGTTCCTAAATAGCTTTTTAAAAGTGCTATTTTCATATATATGTAATTATTTATATTTCCCAACTTCTATTCTGAGATGTTTACATTTTTTCACTGCTACATGTAAGATTATAATGAACATTTTTATCCATATTTCTGACCATTTTCTAGGCAAACTCTTAGAGGAGGAAGCATTAGGTGAAAAAACATGAGCATCTTTTTTCTGATCCATCCTGCCAAAGTGCTATCCAAAATACCCCCCATCCACTGGGGTAGGAAACTATACTACTCCCTTGCCATCAGTGCTCATTATTTTTTAAATAATATAATAAATAAATATTAGTATCTCATCTATGATTATCAGTAAGGTTTTAATATTTTATATTTTCTGAGTTTTTTTTCATGTCCTTTTCTGATTTTGGTGTTTTTCATCAATTTGTCGAATATTAAGATAAGGAACTTGTAATATATGCTACAAATATCTTTTGCCAGTTATCCATCTGCTTTCTAAAGTTTGCTCAATATGTGAATTCCAGAAATTTAACTCCTATACAGCCAAAGACTGTGCCACTGTGATTTTTGTCCACTGTTTTTATGGTTAGGAAAGTCCTTCCACTCCCAATCTATTAAACATTCACCTACATTTTCTTCTAGTTTTATGATTTCATTGTTTATATTTAATTCTTAAATTAATGTGGAAACTAACTTGTATCTTCAACTTAACCTACAGAATGTTCCAAACTCAAATACTGGTCCACACTGACAAAATTATGGAAATATGATTGATTTTTAAAAAGTTTCCCAAAAGCAATATTATTCTTGCAAGTGTCTACTTACTTTAAAGCAGTATTTTACAGACTAAAAGAAATCTATTTTCTTAAGAAAAATAAATTTGGGAAAATAGAAAGATGGCAATGGGCAGGAGATTTATTTTGATTTAAAAATCCAAATTAATAAACATTTAAAAGTACTAACTACTACAGTTGGTCATAATGATTGTTTAGGTCAATGGTTAAGTAGTATATCAACAGCCCCACCACTTCAGAGTCAATTGCCACTAAAAGTGCATCCGTGGACTTTAAATAAAAAGTTAAAAATGAAGATGAGGAATAAAAAAGTAAACTATTTATTTTACTAATTTATAAACAAATTTTTTTAAATTTAAACTGTGTTATATATAGTAATTCTGAATTTTCAAAAATGTAGGCTGTCCAAACAGTACATCTCCTTTCTTTAGCAGTACTTATGTTTAGCACAATACATACGTGTCTATTTGGTTTCACCACATGAGTTGGTAAAATAATGAGTTCTGGATTGGAGGGTTTATTAATGGAACAGTGCTAATCTACACAGTAGTTAAAGTTGAAAATACTTTCCAAGATCTTTACTATTGAACCTTGGGCCAAAAGAATCTTAACATTCCAAATCTATAAAAGAAATTGCCAAAAACTAGGACTATAGGTAAAAAAAATTCTGCTCAGTCTAATGAAAACGATCATCAATACAACCATAAATATAGGAGACCATGGAAAATACATAAATAGAGGGCACACCTTCCTTCTGTTCTTATCTTGAAAACATACATGGCTGGCTTAAATGCACAAGTTTGAAATTAATATGAGCAATTTAATCAAGTAAAAACCACAAAGAACTAGGCTACCAATGCCTTAGAGACAGGAAGAAAAAGTGACTTTGTAGTTTTACCCCCAAACTACAGCTCATTTTGAAGCTTCAACTTGGACAGCAGGAAAACGTAATTAGAGGCTGAGGAAATATGGACTTTCAACTCTCTGTAACAAAGTCTACATACAGTTTTATTACGATACTTGGAAGCTGAGACATCAGGTTTTGGAGTTTCTTTTGTTTTTGTTTTTGTTTTTTTTTTTTATAAAGGCATGTTTGTTTTGCATAAAGGCAAAAGGGAGGCATGGGGATAAAAAACAATTTAATCTAATAAAATGCCCTGACTATTTTCAACCTGTATGTTTTTAAACTGTAATAATCTTTATCAACTATTTAAATCAATGTTTTCTTAAAAATGAAAATACCAGATCTTTAATATTCTTCATAGCTAGAAAGAATAAAGGTTTCATTACTTTATCTAGATGTCAAAAACAGGACTGAAAATGACAGACTTCACCTGGATGTCTAAGAACAGGAGTAAGCATCCCCAAACAGGTTTGGGAGCCATGTTTAACCATTAGGAACCACCTATGCATTCTCATAGGAAAACTCCCTACCCTGATAGGAAACTTAATACATTTTTTATTCCCTTAAACTTTTAGGGTTCATTGGGCTGTAGCCTATCCTTTAAAGTCTAGCATTGTTAGTCTTCTGCTTTGTAAACATTTCTCTTAGATTTTTAGTTTTTACTGTGATTGGTCAGGTGAAGCAAAAAACAAAAAGAACCGTATGTTCATTTCTACTTAACATTTAATTTCTAATTTTAAATTTTAACCTACAAAGCTAACTATAGTAATGCTACTGCCCTCAAAGTCAAAATACCAGGCAATATTTCAGATGGTTGGCCATCTGAAATATAACCATTGATCCAGTTGCATATTCTCCCCTCAGGCCCCCCCCCCCCAAAAAAAAAAACATACTGAGTGATCACAAACTAATTTCATGGGCATCACTTCCCAGAAGGAATTGCCTTAACCACACTGACTTAGAGTTGTCTATGAATGATGGATATCTGTTTTCCCCAAGTACCCTTCAGGTTTTTACTGAATAAGAGAACAGTTAGATTAAAACCAGCAAGGTAGGCAGGAAGGAAATAATTGCTGAAAGTTAATGTGAAAAGAGAAAGTATCAGTATAGCAAAATCATTATCAACACACAGCAGTCTGAAGCCATTTAATATAAGGACAAATGTGTTTTAGTTTCAGACTAAATGAAGCAAAGTAAAATGATTATATTCTTAATGATTCCTACTTATGATGGTAAAGTTAAATTATATTCAGATATACTATTTAGTAAAGAAAGAAAAAGATTCATGTTACATATGTGAATTCTTACAAGGATAAGCTTCAGATATATTTATTCATGTAAAGAAAATCCATGTAAATAAGTAGTTACCATCAACTTACTCTGTATGGTATGTTATTTGATAAATCAAAGGTATTTCTAAAAAGAATGTTTTTAATTATTTAAAAATACCTATAGGTATACAAAATGTTCTCATTAGTTTTGCTTCCCAATTTCTCACAGATATTTGATCACTGCTTGCTAAAATCTATTCAATTATATACTTATTATGTATTAATGAGGCTGCTATCTTCCTTCTCACCTTAGAATTTGCAATAATTCCCATACTCTTTCTTTTAAGCTCAGAGTAAGAAACTACTTATTTCCTTTCTGAAGCTAAATAGTCCACCTTGGACTTCTATATAATGCTCTTCTGTATTTATAGGACCTAATGCTCTTCTGTATTTATAGGACCTTGGTTCTTCATTCACAGGCACAGCAGTCCTAGTCCCCACCTCCCAAGACATGAAATACTTCCTCACTCTTTGCTAACTTGACTTGATCCTATCTTCTTACCAGTCAAGTTTTCTTCCTCTCACTTTGTCAAATTCTCAAACCCATGCATATCATTTTCTTCGTCTGCCGATGCAAATTTCAGAATCCAATGGCTTTCCTTGCCTCCTCCTTTTCCTTGATTTCTAAGCATCATACTAAACCTGTTTCTTTAGTTTTCACAATGCTGCACTATCCTAACTCCTTCAGTGACACCCTTCCCTTTTAGTGCCCTTTATTCACACAGATGTTCCCTAAGAAAGAACTGGCACTGGTGTCCACTCTTCTCTGTGATTTCGCTCACCCTCACCATGTGGGAGGGCCATCTCCACTGCCGTGTGTGCTGCATCCCTCCAGCCTAACGGCTCCCTGGAGATAAAATCTTCATCTGCAACTGTCCACTGGAGACTGCCTGATATCCCCAAAATAAATAAGGCTAGAGCCAGAATTCACAGTTGTCTGCCCAAGCTTGATTTCTGTTCTTAACTTCCCATGCTTCTTTCATCCTTCCAGTCACCCATTTTTAAGATTTCCAATTCATCTTGGACTCCTCAATTCTCCCATCAAAATTTAAATGCTCACTAAATTCTGTCACTTCTTCCTCATAACATCTCTCCCATCTGCCACCCCCTTTCATTCTTATAGCCACTATTCCAGTTCAGGCGTTAACCTCTTCACATCTGGATTACAAACTGCTCACTGAAGCTACAGCCTTCCCCATTTTCCACTTTCTGAATACTAAACACAGCCACTGGAATAGTTTTTCCAAAATAACACTGGTTAGATCACATCCTTTCTCAAGATCATTTCATAATCCCACTACCTATCATAAAAAACCCAAATTCCTGAGCCTGGCAATCAAACCATTTTCATCAGTTTTCTTTTGGCCATTTTTCCAAATACTTCCCACTACTATCCACCCCAAATATTTTGTTTAAAAAGCTAAATCAATTCACTGTCTCAAGGATACACACTGCACATACCTTTGTTTACATTCTTCTTCATATCCCCTGTTCTGGGCCTATCTACACATTTTTTAGCATAGTTTAGGGTACTGGGCAAAAGCATGGACTCTGGAGGCACAACCTGTGTTCAATTTCCAGGTCTGCCATTTATACAGTGACTTTGGACAAGTTACTTAACCTTTCTGTACCTTGGTTTCCTCCTCTATAAAATATAGATAATAATAGTACCTATCTTACAGGGGGCTATTGTGAGAATTATAAAATCAAATATATTTAAGGTTCTTATATTTAAATATAAATCAAATATATTTAAGGTTCTTGGCACATAGTAGTGCTATATACATATTAGCAATTATTAAGATTTCAAAGCTCAACTGATACTCTCCCATAAAACCTTTTTTTTGACAGTGAACTTTTCTATGTTTCTGAAATATTTATTGTAAACCACAAAAGTTTAAGTATAAAACAGGGTATCTCAATAGTGGCACCAGTGACATTTTAGGCCAGATAAATCTATGTTGTGGGGGCCGTCCTGGGTATTCATTATAGGATGTTTAGCAGCATCTGTGGCCTCTAATCATCAGATGCTAGTAGTAGCCCCCCTGCCCCGCATTGCAATACCAAATAGGCCTAAAAGTCCCTTGGTTTGGTGGGGGGTGGGAGTTGTCCAGCTGAGAGCCTTAAGTATAACACAAGATAAAATACATGAAAACACTCAAAGTAATATACAAGGGTTAAGTGTTGCCATATTACCACTCACTTATCAAACATTTGTTTTTTAAATGATTTGAAATTCATGTGTACTTTCATTGTCCAATTAATTTTCATATTCTTTAGTACAGAACTCATGTTTCACCTATTCATTTCCACAATCACACCCAACTGAAGGCCTTGGACATTTGTTGATAGATACATAGGACATAAGCAACCTGAGACAGAATTCAATGAACTGGAAAAAGCATGAAATTTGCAGTCAGATCAGGTTCAAATCTTAGGTTTGCCCTTAGTTTAGAACTTTGGGCAATTCATTAAAGTCTATGAGCCTCAGTGTTCTGATCTATAAAATATAACATCTATATGGGCTAGCTATGATGTTCAAAAGTAATCAGGTATGTGAAAGAACCATGTATATATTGCAGGTTACATACACAGACTCATATGTGTAAGAAAAAATGATTATTATACCATAATACTGCCATTATCCAGAAGCATCCAGGATTTCCTTTATAACCTTATTTTCTATGTAACTGAAGCTTATACCTTTAAGTGTTTAACTTTTAAATTTAAACTATTTTGATGGAAGTTTTCTGCTTTAGAAGTTCAGTATATATTCTTTTTTCTTCTAAAACAATAGGTACTGAATAACATTTAATTTGTCTTTACTGACTCTGGGCCATTGTTACAAACATTAATTACCATTCTAGCATACAGCTCCTCAGAGACTGTGATATACGCAATGCTGCTGACATCTTTATTAAATAGTCAGGGATACTGTGCCTCATTTTGTTCTACTGCGGGTCTCATGCCCATCTGCAGCACTTCTCTCTGCGAATGAAAAAACTAAGTACCTAAGTCTGTTAAAGTGGAATGTAAATGAGCAAACACAAACTTTGAAGGAGGCTCCAGAAATGCTCCTCTGACTAAAGTTCCTAAGCAGGAAACTTCCAGGCATCTCCTCTGGCTGGCTGCTCAGAGGTACTTCTTATTTACTTTCAGGGTCTCATTGGTGTTCTAGATAATTGAAATTGCTGGGAAAGCAATTTCTTTTTCTACTCTAAATATGTATAGAGACAGTGCCATATGTGGTACATATAACTGTAACTAAACCATTTACATTTTTAAAATCTTCTGAGTGCTTCCTGATGCCACTCAAAAAATATATATGCCTTATTAAGCTAAAGCTACAACAGAACAATCATACTATTTGATGAAAAAGATACAGAATTCATGTGAGTCCCATCATAAATTAACTAAAAAAGGAAATATTATTATTAAATTTCCTTCAGAATCTCTTGACTGAATACTTTCAAAACTAATACTTATGTCATTCTTCTACCTGAACTGATAGAAATATGAAAGCTCAGTATTTTCCAGTTTAAAAATATTCATTAGTTATAAGTGAACATTAAAATTAAGGCTGAAAGGAAAATTAAATGAAACGGGAGAAAATCAGAACTAAATTGAAAATTACTTTGTGAGTCAGGAGCATTTGTTCTTATGCTTGTAAATTGCATGGGTCACAGAAAAATCTTTCCCCCGTCACTTTTAGAACACTTGTATATTTTTAAATATATAATATTAAAATAATATAAATAATAAAAACAAAGTCATCTATAATAATAAGTCATGATAATTTACCTCTGTCAGATGTTGTAAAACATATAAGATCTGGGGGCAGGGGGTAGTGAAAGTTGAGAGAAAAAAAAATCAAGTTTTAAAAAAGGCTTTTGATTTGTTTTTAGAACTTTTCATGTCTCAAATCAAATAAAAAGTGAAAGAGAAGAAAGAGAAAGAAAGGAAGGAAAGAAAGAAGATAGGGAGGAAGGCAGGGAGAGAGGACACTAGAAGAAAACATAGCATATTCAACAGTACTTAGAAGCTACTGAATAAAATTATCTAGCCTTGTTGTACCTGACAACCGTAGTCCAAAAGAAGCTGGAGTATATCCAAATTTTCGTTTTCAATAGTTATTGTAACAGCATTTCTCCCAAGCACATCTACGCAATTTATGTTCAAGTCACCCGAACTGCTTTCCTCCAAAATCTTTTTAACCATGTAATAGTCACCTAAATACAAATACAAACATAATTTAATATTCATGACATATTAAATATGAATGACTGTAAAGAAGGCATAGTCTGTTGATTTAAAAGAGTGAAAAGCCCTAAACTCATTTTTGTATATGGAAATGTGCAAAGAAAATGTGAACATTTCCTTGCTGAAAACTTATATCTTGATAAAATAATATATCAGCTGCAAATATAAAAAATAAAAAAATTTAAATGCACAGTTTGAAATATAAGTTTCTAGTTTAAAATTTATAGCTGAATGATAAGGAAACTTTTAGAAGATATTTCAAACCATAAAGAATGTCCAAAAACACAAACTAGAAGCTAGAACAAATTACAAGCTTAAGGTTTTACATCTCAAATACATACACACATTTTCTTATACATCATAATGGTGAAAATGAGATCTTGTAATAAGCGGAGGGTATTATGGAGAGGTTTTGCATACTTTGGAAAAGCAGTATGAATATGTATATGCTTGATAAAAGAATACCTGAAACTCTTCTCCTCTCCTCCCCACTGTCTGAAGCACACATGTGCGCCCACACACACGCACACACCCCTTACCTCATAAATGAAGCTGTTTAGCTTAAATGGCCAGGAAACATTTAACTCACAAAACTCTTAAGGCAGGACTAGGACTAATGCTGGTAGAGGCCAAGAAAAGAATACTTCAAAGTAAAATTTTAACCTGTCAGGAGCATGCAAATTTTCTTCTGCCTAACTCTAGCTCACATCAGAACAGTTGACCCATGGGGAAAAAGTAGATTATGGAGGTAATCATTTTCATGGGGGGCCCACTGTAATTATCTGCTGGCCAGCTGGTACAATAATAAGGGGAATAAATCAACAGAAACACTAATTAACTGGACAAAGAAAGCAAAGTGAGTTTTGTTTATTTTCATTTGACTTTCTAAACATAACATGAATAAACCATTTTAAGTGACTTGCAAATACAGTTGTTCTTTTAGACGTCTATGAATAAAAAAAAGAACAGAAAAAAAGGAAAAAGAAATGAAAGATTCCATGATACAGAAAGAATAAATCCTAAAACTTGACTAAGTGGATAAGAAAGGTAATAGATTTTTTTTTGGGGGGGAGGTAAAATTTCAAATAGATCTGCTATTATTTTTAATCAATGATTTTAAAGTCTCCCATGTATTTTGGAAGAAGTTGAACCAACCCTTCCTCCCTCCCTCCCTTCCTTCCTATTTTTTGAAAATCAAAACCCACTTTTAGTGATGCACCAGTAGACTGATCCATAATTTGGAAGGTATGATAACCTTAATACAGTATTCATCATCAAAACAAATTGAAATACAAAGGTATCTGAAATGACTTTACAGTGACATGATGCCTTAATAAGTTAAGGAAATGGAGTGCTGTTCCCTAACTGCTTTCTCATTTCACGTTCTTTACAAACTCTGTCTTGATTGAGGCTTGCAGCTGAGGAACAGCCTCAGCTATCATCTTCTCTTTGAAAGCGGGGAGTTTGCAGATGCCTAGATTCTTCTTGATTGATGCCCTTATCCCCAGTTGCAGTGGCTTAGAGAAACAGGGACTGTCTGTTTCTTGGGACTTGGAACATTCGACGACTCCTTCCTTTCTATTAACTGCATGCACAAGGGAAAGGACAAGCCAGGTTCCAGCAGATGCCATGGACAGGGTGGGAGAGCCTGCTCCAACTTCAGCCTTGACTACCTACGTGCCACCCACTGGATTCACCCATTGAGGGTTGTCAGCTAGTTCTGGGGAAAGTTCACCTTGAGAGCGTGCTGAGAGATCAGGGGTATGATGGTCTTCCCGGCACGGTCACCAATGATAGGAACATTGACTTGAGCTGGATCCAAACCCTTCAGTTCTGCAACAAAAGTGTTGGCTCTAACAACATCCAGAGTTGTCACCCCAAAGACCTTATTAGGGTTGTATACTCCGTGTTTCTTGAAAACTTCAGATGTGATCAGGATGGTGGGGTTAACAGGATTTGAAATGAGGCAGACTACAGCCTCAGGTCAATGCTGGTCACAGGCAGCAATCAGGGTGGCCACAATTGTGGCAGTGATGTTGACCAGGTCATCCTGTTTCATGCCTGGTTTTCCTGGGACTCCGACTGGAATAACTACCAAATCACAAGCTTTCAGGCAGTCTGGCCACTGCTCAGGTCCCAGGTAGCCTTTCAGTGGCCCTGGTCTCAGTGTGGCTCAGATCTGTGCTCACTCCAGGTATATGGGCAATATCATAGAGGGTCAGGTGGCTCACCAAAGGGCTGTTCTTCAGAAGCAAAAGAGGCTGTCCAATTCCTCCAGAAGCCCCAAGCACAGCTACTTTGCACTGCTCTGGGCCAAGGTGCAGGAGCTGCAGCGGAGAGCAGCACAGGGCGGCTGACCATAGAGGACATGGCTGGGACAGGTAGGGAAAGGACAGCAAACCAAGGAACTGGTGGAGTGGAGGAGGGGAAGGGCCACATTACTCCAGTGACCTCCATACTGCTCAGGGCCTCCTGCCTCTGCAGCTGAACCCTAACTTCTTTTTTTTTTTAATTATTATTATTTTTAAAGATTTTATTTATTTATTTTTAGGGAGGGAAGGGAGGGAGAAAGAGAGAGAGAGAAACATCAATGTGCGGTTGCTGGGGGCCGTGGCCTGCAACCCAGGCATGTGCTGGAAATCGAACCTCCGATGCTTTGGTTCACAGCCCACGCTCAATCCACTGAGCTATGCCAGCCAGAGCTGAACCCTAACTTTCTTGATGGCCCATTTCCTTAGTTCTCTCAAGAAGAAAACTCATCACAAAAAGAAATATTTTCCTCACAGCACTACTAATTAATGGACACTGATGTTCCATGGCAAAAACTTTATCAAACACCTTACAAAGTAAAAACTCTTAGGCACAAGTTGAACTGAGAGTGAGCACACAGAACAGTGAAAATTTATCACTATTACTGGAATATTTAAAACCTTATTTCAATATCTTAGTAGAATATTACTCATAAAAACTGCTATATTTTATTTGCTTTTATATAATGTGTCTAAGTGAGAATTCATTTTTAATTTATGCTGCCTGAGATTCATTAGGCTTCTGAATCTAAGAACTTCTGTCCTTCATTAATTCTGTAATATTTTCAGCTATTATCTGTTCAACTATTGCTCCATCCCCATATTCTTTTTTCTTCTGATGAAACTTCATTAGACACGTTGGATCATCTCATCCAATTTCTGGTTCTCCAAAGATTTCTTATTTTCCTCTTTTTCTCTCTTTCCTGCATTCTGGATAATTTCTTCAGATCTCTCTTCTAGCCATTTATTCCTCCTTCAACTATTTCTGCTGATTAACCCATGCATTGATTTTTTTTATTTTAACAACTTTTTAATTTCTATAAGTTTTATTGGCTCCCTTTCCCAATTTTTTTATTTACTACCTTGTTTTCATTTCCTTATTTTAAGCCTTTAATCATTTTAAGCATACTTATTTTATGGTCTCTGTATGACAATTATCTGAAAGTCTTAGGGATTTAATTCTATTTGTTGTGTTCACTGATTTGTGATAATGGATGACCATCCTGTGAATTTTTAAATTGGGTATTGCAAAATCATCTTCATGAAGCTTACCTGCAGGAATTCTGGTAGCCTAGTTTGAAAACTTGTCCCACTAAGAATATTTCACATTTGCTTCTTCCAAGTAACTCAAGAAGTTTTGCTGCCCTACGATTCTTTTTTTAATATTAATTTCTCAGTTTAGGTTTTCCCAGACCAAGTAGGTAGTATTAATTTAAACTCCAAGTCAACATGAGGCAAGTCCATAGTTACAAATTCTAAGGGGGTCTTACAAGCTTCTTTGTAGTCTCCCTGTGCTGGTAGATGCTTTTCCTCATCTAACCTCTTGCTAAAGGTATAGTCCTTTAAGATCCTGGTTTTATGTTTGGAGTGTGATATAGTTCCCCACTTTGTAGAGCCTCAAGGCCTTGCAACCTGTTCCCATATGAGTATTAAAATTCAAATCCCTACAATATCCGCACCAGTAACTCACACCAAACCATGGAGCAGCCAAAATATCAGATTACACACTCCTCCGATTTTCAATCTTCTTCCCATTTGTGGATCCTCAGTGTTTCCCTTACTTTCTTGAAGGCTCACCTGTTCATTTAAGTGGATGTTTGTTATATTTTAGCTAGCATTTCTAGGTGATTTGAAGCACAAGGGCCTTTTACATTATCTAGTCAGTCATATTACTAGAGACAGAAAAGTATAAAGAACTGTACATAGTTCTCATAAAATTGTACAAATTTCAGGAAGAGTAAATATAATTTTTATAAAGTTTTATAAATTTCAGGTATAGCAAAATAACTATTACACATTTTAAAGGTTTAGATTGCTGTTTAAAAAGTAATTGTATTGCAAATGTCATGTAATCCAGCTTTAAGGTTTCAAAGAGTATTTCTATTATAGTCAGGGGCAATACAAAGGGAAAATACTTAAAAAGCAAAACCTAATAAGTAACTTTCATCCCTAAAAATAATAAAAAGTCAAACCCTGCCACAGCTGACACACTCATGCAAATGAAAAATTACATAGTTAAAGGACTTACAGGAAACCTAGAGGGCTTCCTAAGCACTTGGCCAAAATTTCTATTTGTAAGCCATTTAAAACAATATACTGTTTCCAAAAATTACAGAACAGTCTTAATATTTAGCATGAGTGTATATTAAAAAGAGCTTAGGAAATTTAAAAATACATGACAAGAAGCTATAGAGCAAGGATTACAACTAAAAATGCCTTCATATGTCAGACAAATATATAAATGTTTTCCATTTTATACTGATGTTGTTTTCAAGAGTTACATACATCTTTCCTTTTTCTTTTAAAATATAACATATAGAAAGAAATGCAACATAATTTATTTACTTTTTTGGCAAGATGGTTCTTTTTTCAGTGACGGATAAAGAATGTTTCTCAGTCAGTTCCACCAGTCTACCAATTCAACAGCCAGTCTTCTCAGC